CGCTCTTCCTCCTCATTTGTGCATGCTGGTATCTTGCCCCTTCCAGCACTTCCCTGCAGCCCACCCCCCATTTTTCCTTCCCATCATCTGTGCTCTTGCTAAGATTATGAAAATAACTCCCACCCCCAGGAACTTTCCCCTCCCCTGACCCCAGTGCCGTTCTCTCCCTCCTTTCCCCTCTGCCGTCCAGAAACTGACCTGTGCACCTGGATCTTTGCTTTCAGGTGCAGCCCAAATTCCGGTACCCCTTCTACTATGAGATGTGCTGGTATGTCTTGGAGAGATATGTGTACTGTGTGACCCAGCGGTCCTACCTCACTCAGGAATACCAGAGAGAATCAATGCTTATTGGTGAGTGAGCCTTGCAGTCCGACCACCTCAACGGCTCAGCTGGGTCAGGAATAATTTTTTTCAGTGGGGCTTTGGGAGTCCTGGGTTCTGGGAATTCTTTTGAGCCTGAGTGTCAGCAGATTCCTAGAGACCCTTGAGGAGGGGAGGGGAAGCCATCCTTGTCAGTTTCCCACTTGGAATACAGAATCCAAGAGAAGGAAATTGTGACCCCAACAGAGTCATCTTGGGGACCCCCAGGTCTTGCTAGGTGACTATGCAGATGTGGGGTGGGGCCAGTCCTGGGCATGGTTGCTGAGACAGGCTCCCTACAGAGCAAAGAATCCTGGTTCTTTTTTTGAATCCCTCCCTGGACACCAGCTGATTCTTTTTTCTCCCTGTGTTGGGGGTTGGGTTTTTTGTCTATATAGAAGCAGGCCTAAGAGATGCAGCCAGTCCCTCAAAACCCAGGCCAGCTATAAGCCAGAGGGAGGGGTGACCAGGGCTGGGGATGCAAGCTTGGCAGAGCGGTGGGTGGTTTTGACAGAGGCAGGGAGAGAGCATTTATAAGCCACAGCTGCAACGCCCTGCCCTGCTGCCATTACTTAAAGGGACATCACCCCCCCAAAATGGCTCAGTCCTTGAGTCTTGACTCACAGGCACCCGCCCTAAAGTTACATCTAGCTGTGACAGCCCCGAAGAGCGATCTGTAGGAAGAACATGCTTCTTCCCCTCTGCCTCTGCGCTGTTATTGCCGAAGAGTTTTCCTGGATGCTAGAGTCACTGTGCCTCATTCACTGCATCTTTCTCATCATGGGATAGAAAAACATGACTGGTCTGCCTCTGTTAGGGTCTGCACGATTTCTCCTACAATCTCCAAGAGTTTTAGATTCTTTTTTTTTTTTTTTCTCTAAGCCTCTTCCTTCCTTCCCTTGACTTTTCTCCTGACTTTAGGGGTTTCAGGGCAGACATGTGATGGGGAAATGTTTCTCCCGGGGTCTTTACTGGGGAGTGCCTCCTGGAAATTCAGTTCTGTTGGCTGGGGGTGGGGTGGGGTGGAGGTGGTTCTCTTGTGAGTTTCATTCCTGTTAGATGATTCAGGCGTTGAAAAATACCAAAATCCTACAGCTGGCTCTTCTGAAGTTTCCAGCTGACAGGAGATGGGAGATGACTGTGAAGTAGTGTGACAACCTCTGTTGTTGGAGTAGCTACACGTTCCCGTGGGGACCAGAGGCTTGATTTTGTGGCAGAGTCCCCAGGACCAGGCAACTGAGGGTCACTTCTCTCATTTGGAAATTTAGGGCCATAGAAGAAAGTTCCCGATTTCATTCCAGGCTAGAGAGGAAATGTTGAGGCAATGTTTGGGTCATTGGTGCCCACTTTTTTCTTAAATTTTCTTGCCACTGTTTCCCCCTGCCTCTCCAGTCCATCTGCCAAAGAGAAGCGGGGATGTTCGGGAGACACCTCACTTTTTTGAGTGCTAGTTGTGTGCCAGGAACTGCTCTGTGATGCCTTATTTAATCCTCACTACAAGCCTTCAGGGGAAGTATTCTTTGCCTATATTTTGAAACAGCATTCTTGGGATATAGTTTATATATCATACAATTCACCCATTTAATGTGTACCATTCAGTGGTTTTTAGTCTATTCCCAGGGTTGTGCAAACATCAGCACAGTCATTTTTTTTTTTTTTTTTTTTTTGCGGTCCGCGGGCCTCTCACCGTTGTGGCCCCTCCCGTTGCGGAGCACAGGCTCCGGACGCGCAGGCTCAGCGGCCACGGCTCACGGGCCCAGCCACTCCGCGGCATGTGGGATCCTCCCGGACTGGGGCGCGAACCCACCTCCCCTGAATCGGCAGGCGGACTCTCAACCACTGCGCCACCAGGGAAGCCCCAGCACAGTCAATTTTTAGAACATTTTCATCATCCCAGAAGGGACTCTGTACTCTTGAGCTACCACCTACCTCCTCCTCTCACCCCACACCCATGCCCTCAGCCCTAAGCAACCACTCATCTACTTGCATTCTCTATAGATTTCCTCCTGTTCTGGACATTTTGTATGAATGGAATCATATAATATGTGCTCTTTTTGCCTTATTTTTACACACTGAAAGGTACAATGCCAGGTGTGTTCAGAGAGGTGAGGCAAGCTGTCAGCGTACACACGGCTGGGGAAGAGCAGAGCTCTGACTGACCCTAGCCTTCCTAGAGCCTGAGGGAGGCAGAGGCCATTAGAATTGTCAAAAGAGCTCGATCTGCAGGGTAAAGGGGAGGGGTAGTGCGTGGGGGTCCCGGTTACTTTGAACAGGGAGTTTGGGGTGTTCATCTCAGTCTTTCTTGTGACATTCTCCCCCCCTCCCCACCCCGTAGATGCCCCAAGAAAGCCCAGCATAGACGGCTTCTCATCTGATTCCTGGCTGGAGATGGACGAGGAGTCCTGTGAGCAGCAGCCCCAGGAGGAGGAGAAGGAGGGGGAGGGGGAGGAAGAGGAGGAGGGTGCAGATAAGACGCCCAAAGCTGCCACCGATGGCCCTGCCTCGCCCAGCAGCACCCCCTCCGAGGACCCGGAGGCCCCCGGGAAGAAGCCCAAGGCCCCTGCCATGCGGTTCCTCAAAAGGACTTTGTCGAATGAGTCAGAAGACAGTGTGAAGTCCGCCACGGTGCCCATAGACTACCCCAAGACGCCCACCGGCTCTCCCGCCACCGAGGTCTCTGCCAAATGGACCCACCTCACCGAGTTTGAACTGAAGGGCCTGAAAGCTTTGGTGGAGAAACTTGAATCCCTCCCGGAGAACAAGAAGTGTGTTCCTGAGGGCATCGAGGACCCCCAGGCACTCCTGGAGGGTGTGAAGGTGGGCAGGAGGTCACCTCGGGCTGGGCAGCTGAGGAGGGCCGGGCAGGTTCTGTTTAATAAGCAGGTTCCTGAGGGCAGCTCAGCTCCGGGGGGCTTGGTGCAGACTGTCCTGGGGGTACGTCCATGTGCGGAGAGGGGCCTTTGGTCTAAGCAAGCCCATCTAGGGTGTCGCAGCAGAGGCCACTGTTGAGACCTGCAGGGGGATCTCATGGTGGAAGCTGGCTCTGCAGTTGACAATGAACTTTCTCTCAGGACTTGTTGAAAATTTGAGGCCTCGAGGGCAGTAGGCGTTACTGCCTACCGTGCACCGGTGGTGCTGTTAGTTGGGCCTGGGGACAGACTCCTCCATCCTGGTCAGGAAGACTTGCTGCTCTGGGCTGGTTTCCCCCGGAGCATGCTTCTGTTTCATGTGAGCAGGTTGTACATACCGATTGTCTTGTAGGTAGCCAGTTAAGAGCCACCTGGCCAGCCAGGATTCAGAGGTCTCCAAGTAGAGCCTAATTATTGAGCAAACTCATTGAGCACCAGCTGTGTTGGCCATGGGGGAACGGGAAGCAGGCAGATAAAGAAATCAGGAGGGAATTCCTTGGTGGTCCAGTGGTTAGGAATCAGTGCTTTCACTGCTGTGGCCCGGGTTCAATTCCTGGTTGAGAACTAAGATCCTGCAAGCCGTGCAGTATGGCCAAAAACAAACAAACAAAAAAGAAATTAGGAGACAGGGAATTGAGTGCCACAGTGTGTACCCAGGGCATGGGAGTGGTGTGAGGGGACACTTATTGTCCACACCAGGGGCCAGGGCTCTGGGACAGTTATGCAGTGAGAATTTGAGTTGGGCCTTGGAGACTGCGTAGGAGTCCTCCAGATGGGGAAGGCTATTCTAGGCAGAGTGCAAACGTGCAATGTATTTAAGAAACAGGAAATACATTGGGAGGCCTTGTCTTGTGGTAATCATAACATTTGTTGAAAGCTTACCACCTGCCAGGTACCAGTGCTAGGGAAGTGGTAGGTACCCATATCATCTGCACTTAGCCAATGATGAAGTAGACTCAGGGAGGTTAAGGGACATGCCTGAGGTGACAGAGCAGGTAGATAGTAGGGCTGGGATGAAGCCTCCAGAGTGCCTGTGTGGATATCACTACTTGGAACTGCCTCCTGTCTCAGCATTGGTAAGGCTTTTTGATGTGAGGCCTCAGAGACATTTGGGCTTCCTTCTCCAATGTCTGATTCTCAGACATTGGAATCCAGCTGCCCGCTGCGGTTGGAAACTGAATTTGTCTCTTCTTTGATGGCTGTAGACTCAACCAAGGACTTAATTAGTTCATTTGTATATTTGTTTGTTTAGAAAACATTGTGTCAGGCCCTGGAACCTAGAAATATTAAGACTGTTCTGCTGCCCTTGAGGTGCTCAGTGATCAGGCACTGAACTCTTGGGGTCTAGTGGAGGGGAGACCTGGGGCCCAATCAGGTAGCTTAACAGGTACCACCAGCAGAGGGAACTGGTGAACAGGATCTTTAATCCAGGTTATGTCTTACTTGATTTAGCAGGTGTACCCCCTATAGGTGCCACAAAATTAAAATCTTATAACTCTGGGAAATTGCCAGATAAAAGAACTCTGTGGTGAATGTCCCGACAAAACAAATCTTTACTTTCAAATAGGTCTTTTTCATTGACTGTTTTGGAGGTTGCTGACCTCTCTTGAGAGTTTTGTGAAAATACGCTTATACACACAAAATTTTGTGTGCAATATCAGGAGGTCTTGGACTCCTGAGCCTATTCCTGGACCTCAGAATAAGAACCTCTAATCTTGTGGAATGGAGTTTTTGGGTTTCCTAAAGGAAATATTGGGTTTCCTAAAGGAAACCTTAGACTTCTGTCATGTGGCTACTTTTTTCTTCTAAGATCCTATAAAGTGAAAGCAAGCTATTTTCATCAATAATAAAATCACTAATAGCATTAAGGTTCCAAAATGTTGTAAATGAGTTAAAAAAACCCATTCATCTGAAGAGGAAATGTTGTTCTGTGCTTGTGAAGAGCCTTTTTTACTTTTTTATGTTTATGTGCAGTGTTCCTGGTTGGTCAGATTTCTTTCTAGGGATAGGGCTCAGACCCTTGTATCCCTCACCTGTACCCACCTGATCGACCTCTGAGACTGGATTCAGCCTAGGCCCCGTGATGGTGTGAAGGAGGCCTGGGGTAGGGACTTAGACAAATTTCAAGTATCCCAGTCTCCATCCTCCCCAACCGCCACCATGGGGTTCAGTGGCAGCTCATGATAATATGTGTTAATGAATCTCAATTACTGTCTGTTGTTGTAGCTCTTTTTCATATATAAACTCATTTAAACCTCCTAGCAATCCTCTGTGGTACTTTTGTTACCCCCATTTTACAGATGAGAAAATTGAGGTACAGATAGGTTAAGTAACTTGCCCAAGGCCACACATACTGCTCGATGGGGGAGTCCATGCACTCACACACTAAACTGCTTTTTTGGCCGCTATAGAGAAAGTGATTTTCTCTCTTCTCAGAGGTGACTCTGAATTTAGGGGGAAGGTAATAAGGTGACTGTTTGGACTTCCTTTACAGAACAAGCAACGGATTTGTTTGGTCCTGGGACTAAAGTTGTAAATTGGCAGTCCCAGGGCCAAATCCAGCCTCTAGGCATTGCATTTGGCCTGTATAGTATTGAACATATTTTTGTAATTACTCGCTAACATTAAAAACTCACGAGAATAAATTAAAGAAAAGTCAAGAAAGTTATATAAAATATCCTGGCTATCCTGGCTCATGTTCCTGACTGGCTACAAGCAGCAGGAAGTGAGTAGCAGGTGATCTCATACACCCCAGTCCCCACCACTCCCTGCTGTCTCCCTAATGTCTACTTACCATTTGGCTCACACATCTCTTTTTAGTATAATCTAACCATTTAGCTTACTTATTGAACTTACCTGTCTCCAGAGGTATTTATGGTCTTGAGCCTTGTCTGAGGAGGGCCTTTCTCAGGCTAAAGAGCTTATAAGCTGGGTGGAAAGGTCTCCTTAGAGCCCCATGAAAATTGGAGCCTCCGCTAGCAGCTCTGAGTGCTGTGCGGCCTACATGTATGGGGGAAGTGGAGAACTCGTCTTTTCCAGAGTAGGTAGATAGAGCTACTTCCTTGCTCTCTGGCCAGGCCATTAGCCCCAGTCCCTCCCAGTCCCTGGAGACCCAGAGGAGATTTTGAACCCAAGACTGGCCTCTAGAGTGAGTGTTGTCACAGAAGGCGAGCAGCTTCTTCCTGGCTGCACGCTTAGGTCCCTTTGTTCACTCTTCTCAGATGTTGGGGTTTCTTTTACGCTGGCTGAGAACTAAAAGTCAGCTCAGGAATGTGGGTCCAAGACAGAATTCTTAGCCGATGCCCACTGCCTCCACTACCATTGAGTGATTTGTGTTTCTTACCAGTGGTGGTTCACCCTTGACGGTTGATCAGTTATGATCTTTGGCTTGTGTTGCAAGAAGATGATGTCTTCTTTCCTTCTCTCTCTTCCTCTGGGACCTCAGAGATTGCTGCTAATGGTGGCTCATGGTAACCAGAGCCCCTGGGATTAGAGACAGTCCCCAAAGTAAGTCAGTGTCCAGATGGCTAGGTTTTAGCTTTTATCAAAAACCTATTTTTTCCTTTCATTTTTAATGTATGGTTTTGGTATTTATTTATTTATTTATTTATTTTTGCGGTACGCGGGCCTCTCACTGCCGTGGCCTCTCCCGTTGCAGAGCACAGGCTCCGGATGCGCAGGCTCAGCGGCCATGGCTCACGGGCCCAGCGGCTCCGTGGCCTGTGGGATCTTCCCAGACCGGGGCACGAACCCGTGTCTCCTGCCTCAGTAGGCGGACTCTCAACCACTGCGCCACCAGGGAAGCCCCTGTCAGGCGGATTCTTAACCACTGTACCACCAGGGAAGTCCCTATGTTTTTTTTTTTTTTTTTTTCTTGCGTTATGCGGGCCTCTCACTGTCGTGGCCTCTCCCATTTGCGGAGCACAGGCTCCGGACGCGCAGGCCCAGCGGCCATGGCTCACGGGCCCAGCCGCTCCGCGGCATGTGGGATCCTCCCGAAACGGGGCACGAACCCGCGTCTCCTGCATCGGCAGGCGGACTCTCAAGCACTGCGCCACCAGGGAAGCCCCCTATGTTTTTTAATTGCGGTAAATTATATACAACATTTATCATATTCATTAGTTAATTAATTATAATTACCAGATCACCCGTTTAGAATTTTGAAGGAAGAAACATTTACCATTTTAACCATTTTAAAGTGTACAGTTTAGTGGTATTAAGTACATTCACAATACTGTGCAACCACCACCTCTATCTAGTTCAGAACTTTTTTTTTTTTTTTTTTTTTTTTTTTTTGGGATTGGGGGAGCGTCCTGCCGTGTCCTCTTCCGTAGCGGAGCACAGGCTCCGGACGCGCAGGCCCAGCAGCCATGGCTCACAGGCCCAGCCGCTCCGCAGCACGTGGGACCCTCCCGGACCGGGGCACGAACCCGTGTCCCCTGCATAGGCAGGCGGACTCTCAACCACTGCGCCACCAGGGAAGCCCCAAGTTCAGAACTTTTTCATCACCTGACGCAGAACCCATCCGCAGTCTCCATTTCCCCCTCCCCCACAGTCTGCTTTCTGTCTTTATGGATTTACTGATTCTGGATATTTCATCTATTTAAGAGTTTTAAGTGTAGGGAGTTACCTGGTGGTCCAGTGGTTAGGATTCAGGGCTTTCACTGCTGTGGCCTGCGTTCAGTCCCTGTTGGGGAACTGAGATCGTGCAAGCTGCGTGATGTGGCCAAAAGAAAAAAAAAGAGTTTTAAGTGTAATGTTGTTAAATGATCAGTGTAAAAAATAAATAAATAAATAAACATTATAGGCTAGAGGATAGAAAATGTCCCCTTCCTCAATTCTCATATCCCGGAAAATAACCTTTGTTAATCACTTACTGAATGTACTTCTGGAGCTTTCCCCTCATTC